GCGAGCGAATGGGCGGAACGAATTTCCACGATAGCCGCGACAACTTTATCGCCCGCTTCTTTTCTATATTTCTCATCGGGCTTGTAAAACGCGCGACGAGGCCCGCGGTTGTTCCGCAGCCGGGGTCGATCGAAATTTTACGATAGCTCGATTCCGTTCGGCGTCGCGGCAGTAGTTATTTCATCGTAAATAGATTGCATGCGAGCCTGTAAAACGATATATTAACGCCGATCCATTGCAGTAAATCCACGACGATAACTCGACTTAACCTTAACGGCTGTTCCAGCGAAGTGGCATCGTTCTTCCTGTCCCTTCGATGTTCGTTTACGACCTCACCGCCATTTTATTCGCCGGAAAACACTCGGGGCCGATAAAAAAAAGGAGAGGCCGCCGTAAATCGATGATCGCTAATTTTCTCTCGCGATATATTGCCTCCTGCGGAAGAAATCGTACTCGGATCTTTCCGTCGAATACAATCTTCTAATGTAAAAAAATACTTTGTAACACGCGAGTCCGCAACTCTTAGCCGCTTCGGCGCTTCGGGGGATACTCCCGTGTTTCAGGTAAAAAAGTCGATCCGTTCTCATGCATAATATCGAATTCGATCCTTCTGCAGTACGAACACGCGAGAAGTTGGTAGAAAGCTACGCGTAGATTGACTTGCATCATCTCCGATAAATCAATGAAATTAATAATGTAAGGCTCATTGAGCGGCAATGTACTTAAACATCGAAAAGCGGTGCAACCAGTTTGTTTCGATTCGAAAGGACTTCCATTCGTCATTTTAATCCCACGCTACCAGTTTAAGATTAATAACCCCTGCTCGAATTTACGATCGAACATTCACTTCGAGAAAAGACATTGCGTACAGTGTGTACCAATGTTTAACAGTATAAAGCAGGGGCTAAATCCAAGGTATCTTGTCCGGCGTGGGCGTACGACAAGAAATGATATCACGTACGTCAAACAATCACCTAACCCCATGTGCAAGGGGTCGAAGCGTCGGTTATCTTCCTTTTCGACGGTGTCTCCGACCGGCCGAATCTTTATCCGTTGGATCATCCTCGATCCCGTGGTTTTAGTGGGCTGTAAAGCCTCCGACCCCGTGACATGCTTTATATCTACGTCGCAACCGTATTTCAAATGCGAGGATAGCCTGCCATTCCCACCACCAGCCGGACACGATGCACCTACCCGCGACTCTATTCCCTTTCTTCCCTTTTTTCTCTCTTTCTCCGGGGTACACCGAGGGCAGATGTTCGCGGCTAGCTCTAAGACTGGCATCAAATGCTTTACGGCCATTCTCGAGCCCGCAAAGATGGACGGTAACGAGAAGTAACGGTGCCAGTTTCTGATTACGCAGTGTTCTCCGGTCTGAGCGTCCCGAGTAAATGATGCTTCCTTTCTCAATAAAATGTGTTAATGGCTTGGGAACCCTCGAGAAGGGATTCAAGGATCGGTATCGATGGTAACCGGGCCGCGGATCCGGAACTCATGGACTCTGCACGGAATTCTTTGTACTACGTGTAGCTTCAAACGGAATGCGTAAGGAAATGTAAAAAACAACGGTCTTCTGAGAAACTGTTATAGTTTCATGAACATCTTGCTTTGATGCTAAGACTGTTCCGAACAAAGTAGCAAGAATGTCGCGAAGTGAACACGGTATTCAAACTCTCTATGGTGTACATAAAAGATTTTGATCGTGAATGCTGTGTAACCATATTATAGAAGACATATAAAGCTCAAATACTATATACCTGCTAATGAAATCAGAATTTTAAAGGGGTTTGCAAAGATTCATCTGAATTACTTGTATAATTTCTCTCTCGCTGATAACACTTTTACTCAACAACGGAGCCGTTCGCAGGACACCACGGTTCCGCTTCAAAGTTTCAAAATGTACACAAAATTTAACCGTGTTTCTACACTTCTTTACAATACGCTTTAAAACGTATACACCGCGGGTCTATACAAATTAGCTTGATTCAGCGATCCTCTTTTTTATCCGGACACGCCGCTATCTCCCCGTTCATGATCAATTAGCGGCCGCACGCAGCACGCCTTTCTTTTTCTCGTGCGGGGCTCGCAGCTACCGTTGCCAGCTTAAAACGCAATTTACTACTGCGAAATCCAACACCCGGCCCACCACGGGTCCCTTTTATGCCCGTTCCGTGCGTTTTAATGTTTGATTCGGGGGACGCGTCCCTGTCCACGAGCGGCGAACCCTGTCGCGGAATCGGTCGCGCGGGGGTTCATAATTCCTGAAAAGTTCATAACTTCCGAGAACTCAGCGGAGGAAGACGGTAAACGTCGGTGCGCGAACTTGCCGCCATTAATATCGCGTCGACGCTCGTTTATACGCTGGCACCGACGTATGTAGTTCCCGCATAGAGATAATAACGTGAACGACACGACAGCCGCGCGATTAAATGTCCGCCGCGTTGTCGTATTTTTGGATGTGCCTCGGGAATTTCAACTGTGCGCGCGACGCGAGCCCGAACCCCGTCTCGGAACGACATCTGTATTTCATTCAGCCTAGCGAGAGACGTGATCCTCTTGACCGTGATTCGTTTTATGCCCCGAATGAAATTTTGCATAACGTCTTGCAAGCCCCCCCGCCTCCCACCCTGTATATTTAGGCCAGCGTGTGGTAAACCGCCCGAGGCAACACGTCGACGATGGTATCAGATTTTTAATATTTCATTGTTGAACGACCGCTCGATGCTCGCTGTAAAGTGCCGAGAGCTAAATGATTATTTTATGTATGATCTGGTCATTGCGCGTTCTTCGCGCCGGAAAGATGGACACTGATTACGGGGACCAAGCTGCACCTTAAGAAACCTATTCGCTTGATAAATAAGAAAAGACGAGAGAAGTGAAAAACGTGGACTTTAGAAAATTAATCAAAATTATAAGTGTCTTATCTCTTTCTTCACGGGTTGTACGGATTAACTGGTTGCCACGATAGATTCATCGAAATGTGTTCACGGAGTAGATTATCAAAGCTAGGATGCACAAAGTCTGAAAATACAACAGGATTAAGAAGGCATTTGGTTATTCGTAAGCTGTTGATCGTGCGTAATATGGCAAAGAACGGCGACAATAAGCTCCTGATCCATAGCTACGCTTAGGGTGGCACGGGTTGAAGGTGACGGTTAGGGACAAGGCGTTTCCTTTTTCCAGGCCCGTGGAAATCGAGCAGTCGCACGTGCCAGAGATGTCGGTATCCCCGGCTCCTCGCTGTTCCAGGATAAAGAGAAAGTATTACCTCACCGGCGGCGTCCCGACGACCGGGATTAATCCCGAAATTTAATTAACAAAACCGTAAGCGCTCTCCCTGCTGGTCCGCCACCCCTGCCGGCTCCGGCTTTACGCCCCCGTTCGCCGGAAGTAAAAATAAGATCCGTCGTGCCGTCGATCCTGCCGGACGGCAGGACTGTCTGGGTACAAGGAACAGTTGAGAGAAGATTAGTAAAATATTTATCCGAACAGAAGATTTCGTATCACGGAGGAAATCTGAAAGGAAACTTTACGAGCGAATAAAGGAGCATTCATAAGAAACCATTCGATGAAACCGATATTCCGAATGAACGATAATCGATCAGTACTTTTAATCGACATTTTAGATTGCTCTGAAATTCCGTTCGTCCCGGCGCGAGTTTCTTGAGATCGGAATCTGGAAGCACCTAGTTCGCCGATTCAAATCTACCATCAAGCGATCGGTCCGATTAAACAATTTTTTAGTGCTCGAACAGGTTTCAGCTAACTTTATAATACATCTCGTTCGACGGAACTACTCGTCGCCGAGCGTCTCCGAAATCCTCCTCGGCGACGTAAAATCGCATCGCCATAAATTCGGTTAACCGGCCACAGGTGATCGGTGACTTACTTTACGATTGCCATAATAAAAGCTTCGGGAGACCGTCAGAGATGCAGCCCAGCGACGGTAGGCGTCCCAGCATTTCGAATCCCTTGTCTCCGCGACGCCAGCCACCGAGATGCCTCTTTTATCGTCTCGTCCCGTCCCGACGCCCCCTTACCCGTCGATATTCACGATCCGGCGACCGTGTCGTAGAAAGTGCGCACAATGAAAGCCACGGTCCGTGATTTGTACGATGACAGCTCCGACTCGATCTTCGTAGTGGGTCGGTGAAATACAGGACCGTGAAACGGCGCGCGGCACGGCCGCGATCGGTTTCACGGTAAAGGTCTATCTCGAATTAAACGCGTTTATAGGTGACTTTACGATCTGATATATTTACTCGGTGTCTGTAGGCTAGTTGTTGGGGTCGAATGAAAATTAGATGGCTAGTCAAAGCCATTAAACCGTTGAACACACGCCCGCTATAACGTGTCGCTGCGGTGCACGTGAGTCATACACAGGGCTCTCTAACAGAGATGCTTAACAGAGATGAGGGACAGCAGGAAGATCGTAGATTGTTCACGGAGTAATGACATTAATACAGGTCTGTGAACTACATATTATAAACGTCAATGTCACTATTATATAAAGGATAAATCAAAAAGTTAAATATTTAAATATTCAATAAAAATGAACATATAAAAGTAGAGAACTTCAGAGAACTACCACAATATATGTAAATTATTCAATATTTTAAAGAAAAAGAAAATTGTCGAAAATATTTAAATGTACCTCTAAATTGTCTGGCGATTTTCAAAGTTATGTTACATCAACTTGAAGATATTCGATAAGGAAATACATTACAGTTTTTCAAAATCGTATTCGTGCATCGGCAGAAATCGAATTTGAATAATACAAAGTCTCTCCAGTTTTCGCGGCTGTGTCACGTGACCATCGCAGAGCTGCGCACGCAGCGCTCCCGCCATTATGCGTTCTGTGTTCAACTGAAAAGTGCATCGTCACTCTGCAGGGTAAGTTTCGAATTCGTTTGGACAAAGTGCATACATTAGAAATTCGAGAAGATTAGTGTTTGGGGAAAGTTGACAGTCTCAGAAGATCTGATAAACCTGATGAACAAGTGGCAGGCATTCGTGATTGAACATCTTTAAGCAACATGCTTGTCCGATCCTCTTCAAAGTAAGTACGAGTAAAATATTTGTGTATTAAAACAGTTTATTTCATTTATAATAATCCTGCACTGTATAAATGACTAAAACAGTAATTGGACAGGTTATGAATAACGATATCCGATATTCTTCGCGTTCATATTCTAATTCGTCCATTATCAGATACATAACCTCATTCCGATCAACCGCCCGACTTCGACTTATCGATCTCTGCAGATTTTATACGTTCATAACTCCAACCTCCTAAAACCCAATACCGTACATTGTTCAATAGTCTTTTTCCCTCCATATAAACACACTAAAGAAACTTCATTTCGATTTCAATTCGTTCGGATTACAAGTAGCCGATACAGATTTATATTTTCATAAAATTTCGCCGTCCACTAATAACCATGCACGGTATAAGCAACGAATACATCGTTAGAACGGAATACAATTAATCTAATACAGATATTGTATCCCGAAATCCATTACCTTTCTATTTCAGTCGATCATTCTTCGAACGCACCACCCCGCGATGGGTAGGCCACTCGATCCCCGATCCCCGATCCGCAGATAGACACCTAATTGCGAGGATGCGAACTCGCGAAATTAAATTTCTGAACCTGATACCGACTGCTCAATTTCCGCGATTGGAATAGGCGCGATTTACGGCGGCCATCTTGTCGGGGGCAGCGGCCGGGCGGATCGCGTTCGCTCGCAAATGAGTAAAACGAACGCGACGTTTCATAGGTGCGAGTTCTGTAACGAAGAATAATTGAAACGGCGCAGCGAGTAGAGCCTCGATCGGTACCGTGTACCCGTGTAACCGGCACGCATCCACGGGAATCCTTTTGCGTATATCTTCCCCGGGTTACGCCTCCTAACGATTTTTCGATACCGGGCGACGCGTTTTTATTCGTTTTCCTGCCCCCGTCCGCCACCCTTACCATCTCATGCCACCCCTTACACGATAGAAACGTCCAAACGCTGCAGACAATCTGCCGGATAACGCATAACTGCCCTCAGGAAAATAGCCCCGGCGAACTTTATGCCTGGCCGGCGATACCGCGCCTGGCAACCGGAAATTTATGAAAACGTTTATGAAGTCGTAGCCGGCCGGGGTTGTAAGGGGTTCCGGTGGTCGAGGGGGCACAGAGGTGCAACAAAATGTGGAAAGAGGGAGGAAAGTATTCACGGCGACAATGCAACGTTACGTTCTAATCCTCTGAAATGGAAGGACCTCCTCCGTTACGCGCGCCGTTTTATTTCGTGTTCCGATCGTTTCGTCAGCGATTCGTTTCGCGGAACTCCGAGTCCTCTCCCTTTCCACCCTGCGTCCTTCGTTCTCCGCCCTGCCGGCCCTACTCGTTTTGTGCTCGCCTTTTATTCGCGACGTCTGTTCTATCGGCGATTCGCCCCGACGCACATTTTTCGACGATCGCTGGGCGGCATGTCGTATAAATCTTGATTGCAGCCCGTGGAATACGATTTTCTTCCGCGGTGTACATTTTTACGTGGGAATAAAACGTCTTGGTTTATTCCGCGACCTCGGTATCTGCCTGATCGTTGCGACGGTTGTTCCATAGTGTACGCCATTTTGTCGGGGAGCCCCTTGCGAACTATGTATAATAGTTCGCGATTGCGTTCTTGTCTCGTTTGCGTGGTGGGGTATGTCTTGTTGCTTTCGATGACGTTGGCGGATGACAGAATGACGGTATATTTTATCGAAACTAGGTTACACTTAGGAAATCCTTTCTTTGATATATCGTTATTTTTTGTCAATACCGATGGGTTTGTTAATTGGTATGATTTCTGATACGATGGTTATAGGAGTATAAGCTGAATGAATGACCACCGGTGATTTAATGAAAGATAATCGTATTAGCCTTCTTCCAAAGCATAATCGCGCGCCGATCCTTCTTTATCTGTCAGCAAACGCGAATCGGTGAACGTTGGATACGTGACGTGCCCGGTAATGTGTAATGCAAAATTCTATAACGAAACGCGGATCATCGTGCGCAGGAAGCACAAATAATTTAAATCCTCGACTGTTTACTACCGTCATATGTACCGGTGTGAAATCATGGGGCATACATTTCCTCGGTGCAACCCTGCCACCATCTGATAAGAAATAATTAATTGGTCTGATGGAGGAAGTAGCTGTCACTGCGTTTTATATTTACGCTTCCTTAGTGCTTTGTTAGTGAACCCGAAGAAACTGGTAGTAAGAGGATCTTCGTATTATTTACGACCAGTTCAGGCGCCGCATACTTGCATACTTGCTGCCATTATTCGGATTATACCGGGAAATAGATTTAACTCGATCTTGCGAACGGTTTAAGGAGATGGGGTACCGTTTATTTATGTTCGACAGATACAAACACCGCCGCAGAGTCGAAAATTGTTAATTCCCGGTCGAGGCCGGGGTTTGCAGGACCTCTCGGGAATTCTAGAGATATAGAGCTCGGAGGTTCGATAGAGCTCCCGGCCATCTTCGACCATCCCCATCCTCCTTGATCCCCTGTTTCCGGTCACTCCTCTGGACCATTTACGGTCTCAGCTGTTCGGACTTCTTCCGAGGAGAATCCTGAGGGTCACGTTGGCCTTCTGGGAGCCACCTCGAGGGCTTCGGTGGGCCTTGGAAGGTTACCCTTAAGGTCAACCCTGGAGGGCTCAGTAGTTCGCTGACCCCTGGTTTTTTATACATTGAACTTCAGAGTTCGTAGGATAGTTTTCTTGGGATCTCAGTGTTAATTTCAAGCTTGACTATCATCAATGTCGAAAATCCGGGATTTGCGCGATGCTATATTTTACTTTCGTCGCTGATTTCTGTTGAACCCTTTTATTCGTCACGTCGGACATTAGTAATTACAATTATCAGAATATCGCCGTTGCGTCTGGGAGTTCGCGGTAAATTCGATGTCGGCTTCATTACGGTGCAGGGGAACTCTTCAAAAGGATTTAAATTCAGGGTCGCCTTAAATCAAGGAGTACTCTGGACAAATCAGATCGTCGTTTGCGTCATTCTCGCCCGGGCGTCGTCGGCGACGCCGCCATCGTCGTCGTTCTCCTCGGTTCCGTCCCTCCGTTTATGCGTCGACGAGGAGTAGGCTTGACATTAATAGTCTCGCGGCGGATAAGCCGTTTTTGAAATGACGTTCGAAGGGAATAATACATGGAGGGTCACTTCTCGGGCTCGTCTCCGACCCCTGCGAACGGACGTCCCTTTTCAAATAACGCATTTCAAGTCCTTTCCTTTTCGGCAAAGTGGAGGACCCTTCAGCGAGACTTCCACCCTTACGGAGTGTCTCGCACTCTACTGTAAATCTATTGGGACGTGTATATATATAGATATACCTCGATTCGCCATAGTCGATCCTTGAGAAATACGATAGTACCGAAGCTTCGTATATGCCGTTAAACGTTAAATCTGTAACCCATTCCGAATTCCAGTAGACATTTAACTCTAGAGAAACGATCCGATTTAATGTTGGTACGAGTAATTAATTTCAGCTTAAAAGAACTTCATGCTTTCAGTACCAAAACATAATTTATATTCCCGTTTGTATTACGAAATTAGTTTACCACAAATTTCATGACGCAACAAAGACATCGATAGTATGAGAATTATTATATCAGGTTATTTGTAAGAGAGTAGAATATCTCGTAAATTCTTATGAATATTAATTTTCACAATGAAAACCTCTTGAACAAGAGAAGTTCATAAAAGATTGTCCGTTAATCAGAAACATGATTGAAAGACTTCATTTGAATGAAAATTTTAATTAGAACCTTCGCAAAGGCTACATTGATCGACGGTGTTCCTTTACGTTGGAATAACATTATTGGGTTATATGCATTTTTCACGTGAAATCGGTTAACGCGTTTAGGCATTCTCTTTGGAACCTTTGCCTCGTATATTTTAAACAAGCTTTTTTTCTCGCGTGTACAACGGCCGTTGGAAATAGGTAGTTACCTCGTGCAGAAATATCGAGACGCGCACGTGTCGGTTCTTCTCTTCTGGATCGCCTACACTCTCGACAACCCTTCCGTTGCACCACTTCCCTGTCACTCTCGGTCCCGTCTACCCATTCTCGACTTTGCCTCCGTTAATTGCCTCAATTAAATCTTTGTTACAAGCAATTTGAGCCCGACGATTTTTGGAGGGAAGGGTGAGGGTGCTTCCGATACGGGGAGGCGATATAAGAGTTGTCTTCGTGGGACAGGTCGGTATTTGTGGAATTAAAGGGTGACCCATGGCAACGTTACGAACACTTCTATGAAGCCAGTACACTGAAACTGGTACTAATTTATCTTTTCTATACATTACACCAAGGAATGCTGCTACATATAAATAATAAGCAATTAACTTATGTCTAAACATGAAACGTTAAAACCACTTCCTCTGTATATACTTATCATTGCAATTATCTAAATAACAAGGTAATTTCTGATTCTTAATAAACAACCGTATCGAGCACAATAGCGAAGAAAATCATTCGACTCGATGCTGAAGATTAACAAAGATTTCATGCGTTTTCGATAATTGTTTGAGTAGGAGCTTTAACCGTTATCGATCATAATTGTTATCGAGAATTCGGTTGCGTGTTCGCGTCACTGTCGTCGCGTCGCATCGCATCGTCGAAAACAAATTCCTGTCCGTTGTAGTTGGACGAACGGAGGCAAAAACCAGACGCGGCGCGTTCATTTCCACGGGACGAAATTTATGCCGGGCCAGGAAATAGCGTTCGTTTCCACGTCGATCTATCTTTCGTGGCTGGCGGCCACTTTCATCGTGTTTCGATCAATCATACCCGTTTACAAATAATGATGTTTAGCCCGGGTAACAAAGCAGAAACCGCGCAGGGGCATTGAATTACACTCGGAACAGAGCCGTGAACGTGTAATGACACGAGGCGCGGCCGGCCGCGCCGCGCAGCACCGCCACGCCGGAGTAAATTATTTCGCAATGCGGCGGACGCGTTGTTTTATACGCCGTGGTATTTTCAAATCGAATTTCTCTTTGGG